TAATAGTTTTTGGAGGGAGTGAGTAAAATAGTTTGTACCTCCCTTTGTCAATTACAATTAGGGTTTTGCTAAATTTACTCATATTTTTGTTATATCCACCAAATTTGTGGCAAATGTCCAATTTTACCCTTAAGATGAGTGGATTTAACAACACCCTTGCAATTATGATGTACACTTTTATGCTCGAAAATTTTTTAGTATTATTCACTGTATTACAATATACTCCGTAATATTTATTTATACTCGAATAACTAATTAATCATACATTTTTTGCTGATCTTTTGCCATGGACGAGAAGTTGGGAAGCAAGGGGATTTGGTACACACTTTCTCCACACATCTCTTTGATGATCTAATTAAATTCTATTTGTTAATTAAAACTGGCATGTGAAACTAAAAAAATTTATGCTTTGTTTGGAAACATTTTTATGATTACCATTAGCATTTATGTTTAAACATATAAATTAATTTTAAAAATATAAACACTTAAAAATATCATTGGATATCATTTTCAAAACATGCTAATTAGATGCTAAAAAGATATCATTTGACTCAAGACATTTAAAAAAAAGTCCACAATTCAATTTTCTTTTCTTTTAATAATTGAAAAACATTTTTATGACACCTAGAAGGCTATAACATTTATAAAATGAGTTGGAAAAAGTAGAGTTTTATTTGGACAAATTTAAGAGCATCTCTAACCACAATTGCTAAAGCCAGTTTTTAACATATGAATAATGGTATAGCAAGCCATTTTGCATTGTCATCTCCAAACTTCCCTTGCTACAATTTAGCTAACATATACTCCGTATTGATTTTACTATTATAGTACACTATTTACAATAATTTTTAAATTTTATTATTTTATTTTTTAAAAACTAAGTAATACTCTATAAGTATGCAATTTAAAAAAAAATAATTTAAAGTAAAATACTATTTTTTAAAAAAATTTTTTATAAAAAAATAAAATAATATTTTATTTTTCTTCTTGCATTGTGGCACTGAATGTGAGAGAACAAATTCATTGTAGCACATGAAAGAAATTAATCCAATCAACATTTTTCTTCTTCTTTTTTGGCTTGCTATATTTTACCAAGCTTGTTATTAGTAACAAAACATTTTCATTTTTTAGCAAGTTGGTCAAAACTTTGGCAAGCCTTTTGGAGCATGAAATTTTGTTTGGGTTGTCAAACTATAACATATAGCTAGTCATTGCATTTTAGCGTGATTGGAGATGCTCTAAGATATATAGAATAGACTTTTTACTCCTTTTTTAGTGCTTGTTACTCCTATTTATTTATAGTTTTATAAAAAAGAAATAATAATCTTATATATTAATGCAGGCAAGGACCCCTAGCAAACTATCTTCAGTTTTTTCTGGCACCCAAGAAAAGTGTGCAACATGCAAAAAAACTGTATACCCCTTGGAGAAGGTAAGTCATTGCCCCATATTTATGTAAAAAAAAGTTGGAGAATTAGCATAAAAAATTTGGTTTCTCCTAAAATTAACTTCTCGTTGTATTTTATGATATTTAATTAAAGCTATAAAAAATCTACGAAACTAGAGATAACAAGATTATGTGTTTTATGGAGTATCAAATAAGTAATGAAAATATACCAACAAAGTGAACACTGTTTGACCCAATAAATAGTGAAGAAGAAGATAATTTTATGCGAATATTGATATAGCTAACATTAAATTCTAAATAAATTCCACTAATGGTCCAGTATAACACATAGTTTTAAGAAATTATCATAAATAAGGGTAAAATAAAGCATTCATTCTCAAAATAGGAGTTCTATATTTTCATCTAAAAATAGGAGTTTGCACTGTGACATTATATCATTATATAATGGCATCCCACTATGTTTTTTGGGACTATTTATGAAATACTACCTCCGTCCCACTCTTTTTGTCCAGTTTTGACTTTTGGAACTGTTCATCTAAGCACTTTGACTCATCAAATTCTCTCAATGTGTAAGTCTAAAAATAGTCATGTGTGATCTTGTTTGATTTGTCTTAACATATAGATTATTAATATATAATTTTTATAATTTTTTAATATACAAATTACAAGATAAAATGGATTAAAGAAGTGCATTGGATGGTGTGCAAAAATGAAAGTGGACAAAAAGAGTGGGACGGGGGAGTATACTCTTAAACTCTTATCTATGAGAGTGCTTGCTCAATTCCATTTAAGTGTTCATTTTCTTTTAATTGATATTAATTTTATTTATATTTATAAACCCTCTTTAGAGGAGATGCAAATATCAGATTTTTAATTCAAGAGATTTTGAGTTGAAGTAAATAATATGGAGTATTTGGGGTCATGCTACATTCTAAAAGGGCTCGTTGATAGTCGTAGATTACTCACAAATTGCTGGGTTTGCCTCTTGTCACTCTTAACTCTACATGAGTGCGTGTCATATAATCGACTTTGGAATAAACCATACAGATTGTTGTAGGGCACCCTTCAAAAGACCCCATACTAATGAAGCTAAATACACACTTATAATTTTTTCTAAAACCTCTTAATTATATGGGACTTTGGGCTTCTTTAGTGATAATCAATTTGATCTTTCAATCATCGTGCACCATCCTACCAACCAACATAGAACATGATCTCGCTACCGTTTTTATTATGGGAAAGACTTTCAACAAAAGATATTAACCAAAAATCTCCAATCACTTGGTCATTTCACGTAGTTTTTCAAATTATATTGTATCATCATCATCCCAACCTCAACGGGACACACCGCTTGACTACATCATTGTTAGAAAAATTCACATATCTTCAAGAGTTTTGATGCTATATATTAATTTAACATGGGGTAAGTATGTGCGAAGAAATAAATATGTGAAATGATGATCGTGTAACTTATAGACGTGCATATGTCGCATGTACAGTAAATATCCTATATCTAGATGTATGATATTAATACCCTGTGCATTGAGGAGTAATATATCGTGATTAGGTAACTGTGGATGGATACTACTTTCACCAAAATTGCTTTAAGTGCTCTCATGGAGGATGCAAGCTCACAACCTCTTCTTATGCTGCATTGGATGGACTCCTCTATTGCAAACCTCACTTCTCTCAACTATTCAAAGAAAAGGGTAGTTATAATAATCTCAACAGAAGTACCTCTGGCAAAAAGAGCAGCGAAGCTCAGGCAGTTGCCGACACCGACGAACTCAAGCTAGAGGATTCACAGAGTGACATTGTCGGTGAAACCGATGACGCTCCCGCTATTTAAAGAAAAAATTGTTTAAAAATAGTGAGACTTATGAGACGATGAATTTTGAAGGCATTCTTTGGTTGATTCTTTTCTTTTTCTTTTTTTATTTTTAGAAAAAATTAAAATTCAAATATAGATTACAATATCATTGTTTGAGTATGATGGACTTCAATCCACTAAATATTTTATGATGTTAATATGAGATTTATGAGTAATGTTTAGAGAAGATTGGTTATATGTATAATTCTGCTTCGACATTACCTTCATTGTTGTCTTAAACTATCTAATGACCTATTTTTCAAGAACGTGACGTATCATTAGAAAATATTTTTTTCTCATATTCTTGGTGTCAACTTATCTTAAACTAAGGTGGTTTAAGCTCAATTGTAGGTTGGCCTTACCCAAACCTAACAATTTGGGCATCAATTGACCAAGACTAACAATAATTAAATGAATATAATAAGATGAATTTTGTTAGCCTTTGTTGCCACCCCATACAATTTCACACTTCATTCTTTAAATGTGATGGAAGTGTTATTGTTTTTAGAAATTTTAGGGTGTGGAAAGCTAGCTATAGAACATTGTCTTAGAAAAAAATGAACTTCTATAGAATGTTGCTTGAGAAAAATGTATAAAAAAACTTAATTTTTCTAACAGCTAAATCCAAAAGCTATTCCCTTTGGCTTTTCAGATTTTGGTTTTTTGGATCAAAATGCCAAGTAAAAAATTCATTAGCCAAATAATGATTTTTGTTGTTCACTTAGTCAAAAAAGTCAATATCAACTAAAGATGTCAAAAGCTATCCAAAAAGCTGTTTTCCAAACATAACCTTAATCCCACAAAAACACAATGTAAAACATTGACATTATTTTGAGTGTTACAATATTAAATTTAATGTCAAACTTATTTTGAGATAAAGTATCAAAATAGAAACATCGTGAAATACCAAATACAACGCGAAATTATGTTCCTATATACCGGCCAAAACGTTGAATATGACCAATAACTTGTTAGGAGCCTTCACTTATATATTTTGTAGATGAAGAGGTGCTACTTATGATGCACTCTACGCTTAGTTATTGTTTCTTGCACTTTGGTGTAACTTCAAAATTTCAATTTAACTCTCCATTAATCGGTTTAAAATTAAAACTCAATTTTCTTACCTTATTTTTTGAAGAGAAATTTACCTAAATAGGACTAAAATATAATGACTTTACCCATATAGGACCATATGTTTTTATTTTCCAATGTAGGCCTTTTTGGTTATTATCAAGTAGTCATTATTCAAGTAAATGTCTAGCATTACTGGATATTATTCCTCCCACTAGGTCATTATTAAGTCCTATTTAGAAAATAAAAAAGTTTAAGTCCTACATTAGGAAAATCATTATGTTTTGGTCTTATTTAGTGCAAATTTCACTTTTTTGAAACCTAAACAGTATGTGTACGAGTCTTATACGCCCTATATAGTTGCCGTATACGCTTCATCACTCCCCCTTTTTAGCCGTTTCGCCCCAAACGAGTCTGGGCAGGGGGGGATTTTTACATTGCCCAAAATGCCCTTATCTTTTCATCCTAATCACCAGAATGTGTCATTCCTCTTTGCTTTGCTTTGCTGTGCTAAGAAAGTTAAATGTGCAAGTTTCATCTTCTCTCTCGAGCCTTCTCATACCCAAACTCTGCACAAAAACCCCCTCTCTGCATATGTATATGTGTGTGTATACATTTATATATGTTGGAGTTCTTGAATGAGTGAGAAGACGGGAAGAGAAGGTGGAAATGGGGTCAGTTAGCAATTTTGTAATCAGATGGATCAATTTTCTCACAATGGTAACATACCCATTTCTTGTTTACTCTTTTTATTAATAAAAAAATATGCTTTCCTATGTTGGGTATCTCCAGTTTCATGTACAATAATTCTTGAATGTTGCTTCTTCTCATTATTGGAGTTGTTAGTTGCTCCCAAATTGATTGGATTTTATGCTATTTGTTTCAGTGTTTTGAGCCAGTTTCTCTTTTGTGGGATTTTAATGAGTTTGTTGCTCTTGTGTAAAATGCTCCTTTTGCTTGATAATAAGTTGTGAATGTTTTAGGGGGTGAATGTTTTCTAAAAAATACTCCATAAGTTGGTAGATGTACAATACAAGGAGAAATGTGTAACCCCAAAAGGTCATTTTCCGTATAAATACAAGAATGGCAACAATAAAGGACCCAACAAAATCCCACAAGAATTTGGGGTTGGAGACGGTGTACGTACACAGGTCTAACCCCTAGTGAAAGTAGAGAGTCTATTTCCAAGAGACTCTGAATTTTCCATAGAAATATACAAGAGCAAAAAAACATTGAGCTATAATTAGGTTTAAATTTTTTCATTGCCAATGCACGTTCTTCCAAATTGTTAACCAAACTTTGCTGATAAATGTTTTCCTTGAATCAAATGGAGCATTAGAATGGGCTGGGCTGGTTTTTTTATGTACGCACAAAAATGAAATCTTTTGGTTCTTCTTGAGCTTAATTTTGCAATCAGATGGCTAGAATTTGATTGGCGAAGTAAGAACACTTTGTGTATATTGTTTCAGTAGATTGGGCCTTTGATTGTAATTCTTTTCATCTTCAAAATGCAGATTTTAGCCATGGGTGTAATCGGCTTTGGGCTTTGGATGAATGCTAACCACGATGGCTGTCGAAAATCTCTCGCTCTTCATATCGTTGTTCTTGGCATATTGATTTTTTTCATGTAAGCCTCAAATTAATGAGTCTTGGTTCGCTTATGATATGGCATATTGGCATCCATTGCTATTGGAGTTTTATAAAAAAAATCATTATTGACTATCTTTTAAACTGTCTGCGCTTCTTTAATTAATGAAGTAGCAGTTAGTCAAGGAATGCAACTTTCGACGTTGAGCCGGGGGTCTCTTTGGAAACAGCCTCTCTACTTTCGAGTAGGGGTAAGGTCTACGTACACACACCCTCCCCAGACCCTACTCTTGTGGGATTTAACTGTGTTGTTGTTGTTGTTGACTATCTTTTAGCTTTGGGTATAAATGGACTAAATAAACACCCTAGTTCAAGTGACATCAGATTTTAATGTCATAGGATGGCCCGAGGCATCTACGGTGCTCCGTTTGAAAGATTGAAGGCTCCTACCCCCAAGCTCCCAGATAAACCCCCCCCCCCTCCAATTGCACCCCACAAAATTTAGTTAACTTTGGGATCAAAATTTGACTCCAAAGTCAACTAAGTTTTGTAGGGTGCAATTGGAGGAGGTGGTGGGGTAGGTTTGGGTTGGGCCGGGGTAGGGGGTTTACTGGGAGGTTGGGGGGTAGGAACCATCAATTTTTCGAACGGAGCACCGTAGTTGCTCCAATCAAGGCCGGATGACATGGGAGACTAATGTCACCCGAACCTCCCCCCTAAATAAAATATGGCACACCAAACTTACTTTGCTTCTTACTTTGTAAGAACTTTTGGCTAGTAAATGCAACAATGCATCAAATGTGTATTAGAAGTAGACTCCATGCCCCATTCCATAGGTAAGTTTGTGATGGATATTAATCCACCAAAGTATCAAAAATATGACGTAGTGTCTTCTTACTATACATGTGGGCTTAGGTGTGTCTAAATATAGTAATAATTATAGAATAGAGCAAGTATATTTGACCTCACTCACTATACATATTTGAGCATGTCCCAATATATCCATCAGGTTGCATGCATCTTGATCCCCAACCTAACAGTGTTGAGTTTTTGTTTGTAGTGTATGCGTTCTTTATGATGTGAAATTTGTTATGATATATGAGCCTTTTCTTGGATTGATTTTTCAGATCGGTTTTTGGATTTCTTGGTGCATGGAAGAGCAACCCCATATTGTTATGGATTGTGTGTACCATCCTTATTTGATGTATACTGATTATTTACACAAGAATCACATAATCAATGTATTTACAGCATTATCTTATGCTTGTTTCTTGACCTTGGTTTTCAGTACTTGATCATGCTGCTGTTAATTCTGGTGGCAATCTTGATCTTTACTGTCTTGGCGTAAGTAATCTCAATTGTTGATCATTTTGGGAAAACTATGTACCCTTTTCTCCCTAAAAAAACTTGTATGGTTCCCTTTTTGGTCCGACCCAAAACAGATGTGGATGTTTCTATGTTTGGAAAGTCTTATGCGGCTCACATTTTTTCTCTCTCATCTGCCAATCACACAATAGTTTTCATGTTATTAAAAATTGTACCGAGTCAAACTGAGCGCATCTTTTCGGGACGGATGTAGTAATATCTTTAGAACTTGCATGTGTCATGTGTGTAAATATATATGTGTGTTATATTGATATGTTTTTATACTTTTGCAGATTTATTGTAACAAACAAGGGTTCTGGTCACAGTGTAAGTGGCTTAAGGTAACACCTTAATTCTTAGAGTATATTTCATCATCAGAGTGAGATCCTGTATTTTTTAAATGAAGTTGCATGAATGCTATTGCCGTGTTCATGTTGCTCTGTTCCTCCCGAATGGCCATAACTTTTCGTTTTTGGACGAAAAGAAACGGATGGATTGGGACATTGGGTATTGTGTCTTCTTGGCAAAAATCTCAGTATGGAATGTGTTACATTATAAAAAACTTTTCATGGGTCCACAACTAAAAGCTCAAGCTTTTGGTCGAATTGGTTCATTGACATTGTATCTGAGCTTTGCTAATGTAGAGAGGTAACAAGTTTGAACCTTAGAGTGTAAAATCTTTTCTTGATCTGCAACCAAAAACTTGAGCTTTTGTTGAATTAGTTTCTTGACAGAATGGAATGGGACCCAAACAAGACGCCGAAGAATATTTTCAGTCATTTAGAACCAAACTAATATAATTTTATGTGGTCAGGTACAAGGAATATCAACTCCAAGATTATCATTCTTGGTTCCTAAAACAGGTATTGCATTGATCAGATCATCAAGACTTCCTGAAGTTTCATGGTTTTTCAAGATTTATCGTTCTTGGTTAACAGTTCATTTCGTGCTATGATGTTTAGCTCAATAGCTCTCATAACTGGGAACACCTGAGGAACTGTCTTGTGAAATCTGACGACTGCAATAACCTGTCCCAAAAATATAAGGTTGGTGACTCGGATTACTCTGTTGTTTTTGTTTTGAGTAAATTCCATAAATGGTCCCTAGCTACAAATGATTTTCTATATTTACTTCCCAATTCTAAGATATTACATAAATGGTCCACAATTTTTTTAAAACTATTGCATAATCGGTCCTTCTAGGACTATACATGGAAAAAAAAATATTTTTTCATATTTGGCCTAAAGGACTATTTGTGGATTAGTTTTCAAAAATTGAGGTGTAATATTTTAGAATCTAGGACTGAATATGGAGAACTACTTGTAATTAAGGACCATTTATGGAATTTAATCTTTTTTTCTTTTTGAAAAAAAAACCTCTCTAATATGAGGGGTTTTATGAACTTATTTCTGACAGAATCTCAAGCAGTATAGATATGCAAAGCTAAGTCCAATTGAAGCTGGTTGCTGCAGGCCACCATCAGAGTAAGCATTTCTTTTCTTAACCCAGTTATTCTGACACCGACACTCATATCGTAATATGACACCGAGCTATTTTCCCCCACCCTAGCCTCCCAGCTCCCCCCTAGCATTTTGTCGAAATGCTATACGAGGCTGGGTAGGGGGTGGGGGTGGGGTTGGAATTTTTGGATGGTTTCGGGGGAGCATTTTTGGGGTTCCATGCTCCCAACGGAGCACTGTAATACCTCGGTGTTATATTATGACACCCAAAATGGTTGTCGAAAGAACAGTGAATTTCTTTTAGTCCCCGTTTGGCAGAACACTTTTCTCTTTTTTATCAGCTATTTCTGCAACTCTTTAAACTAAACACTAACTTTTTCTTTGGAGTAGCTAACTATGTTAGTAATGCCATTGTCTTATATATAGGTGTGGTTATCCGGCCCGAAACACGTCATATTATGACCTGACCTTCCATCCAAACAGCTCCAACAAGGATTGCACGCTCTACGAAAACAAAAGAGATATATTGTGCTATAACTGTGATTCTTGCAAGTGAGTTTGCTATGCCCGGCTTCTTCTTCGTTCTTTTCACTCCTCTTTGAGACATTCAATGAACTTTTTTTCCCCTCAGGGCCGGAGTTGCTGAGTACATGAAAACTGAATGGAGAGTGGTTGCGGTCTTCAATCTCGTCCTCTTCGCCATTCTAGTAATGCATGCTCTATTCTTTCCTTTGGTACTATTAAGAAAAGGGTCAACTTGATATGAGGGGTACTCGTAAATCTTTTATGAGGTTTCGGTGGGGTTCTTTTGACACCAAATTTGGGTGTCATATTATGACACCGGGATCTTACAATGCTCAATTGTGCCTATTCTCTCGCCCTTGGTGCCTACTTGCCTTACAGTATAGAAACTTAGCATCAGGGGCGAGAAAGAAGGCCCGGCGGAGTATCGTCGGGTCTTCAAATAACTGAGTGTCAAAAGAACCCACCGAGTTTCAGTGGGACTCTTTTGACACCAAATTTGGGTGACACATTATGACACCAGGGTCCTACAGTCCTCCGTTGTGCCGTGATGTGGGTCCAACCCTCCCAAAAAAAGTCCCCTACTATTGACCTCCATCCCCTCGCCTTTGGCACTGATTTGCTACTTTAACAAATCGGTGTTAGGGGTAAGGAGGAAGGGATTAAGGAGGGTAGAACTTATTTCGGAGCCTTAAAAAGCATAGTAGGATCTCCAAATGCACCGGTGTCATATTATGACACCGGTGTAGACATGGGGTGTATATTTTTTCCAATAAAATATGACTGAACATTGTGTTTTCCTATTGCAGACAATAATCTATTTTGTGGGATGTTGCGCGAGACGAAATGCTGGCAACGGTGTATCCAATGTCTAAGAAGAGGGCAAAGGTCTCAAGCAAAAAAAAGTGTGGATTTGGCACTTTCTTTGGGTTTTAAAATTCCTAGGGCTGTTTGGTACACGGAATTGATGGAATTGGAATTAAAATTCTAAAGAATTGAATTGGATGGAATTGAATTGTCCAATTCCAATTCATTTTTTGCACTACTAATTCCAAATCCACATATTTTTGTGATACCATACAACAGAATTGGAATTGCAGTACCCAATTCTAATTCCATGACTTGAATTCCGTGTACCAAATAAAGCTTTAGTTTTTTTTGTGAGAAACCTTGTAATCGAGCGGGGTAAGTGTGACTTTTTAAAATGAAAGATCACATGTTCAAACTTTAGTTGAAGTATTGACTATTGTATGAAGAGTATTTCAGTAGGTTGAAAAAATATGTTAGATAGACGTTACATTCTACGTGGCAATAGACTAAATAGTTTTCAAAAAAACTTTTATTATCTGAGGTTTTAATTCTTCTACATGTAAACCAAGAAGCCACATGCGGGAAGAAGATAAAAAAAAATATAGATGTGAAAGAAGAAAAGAAAATGTGAAATGAGATTAGAGACTAGGATTAAAGCATATTATAATGTAGAAAAGAATATGAGGAGAAAATATTTGTGTATTGAATTGTTCTTTTATTAAATTACAAAGGTCTAACAGGTCTAACCATCTTTATATAGAAAGAGAGTAAAACATATAAGTAAATTTCTATTCCTACCATATTTCTATTCCTACTAAAATAAGAACTAAGCAAACTAAGAAAGATACTAAACCAAATCCCAAAGGGATTCAGTTTCCTTCTTTGATCCGGCTTCCTTCTTCTGTTGCTAACACCCCCCTCAAGCTAGAGCATGAGAGTTCAACATGCCCAGCTTGGACATCAAAAGATTGAACAAAGCTTGAGGAAGCCGCTGCCATCGTTGTCCAAGTGTCATCTAGACACTTCAGTTTTTTTCTTCAACGGAGATGCCAAGCTTTTCGAATCCGCCGAATAATCAGTCGATTAAAGGAACGCCATTCTTTTCGAACCTTCATCGAATTCAAACGAACAGGACGAACGTCATTTTTTTCGAACATCCTGAACGTCAATTTTTTCCGTCGGCAAAATAAAGAGTTGTCTATCTCTGTAGAACAACCCTTGTCGAACAATTTCTTCATGAGTTATATTCTTCATTGAGAAGGACATCCTTCTAAGGATGACGGGAGTGACTTGCGGCCAAAGAGACCCTGACAATTGGTGCGGCACTTTCTACAAACCAATATGGATTTGTTTCTGCGGCAAGGTGATGGGTAGAAAGGGTATGGAATGATGATGATTCTTGTGATTCAATATGGGTAAGGTTTAGGTTTGAGGTGTTGTCAGTTTGGTGGTGGTAGGAAATTTGGAATGGAGGAAGAACAACGGCCCGGCGGGCGGCTAATGGTGGTGGCGCCCGCCAGGTGCGAAGACAGAAAATATTAGGTCACCAAGAACCTGGCTCCGGCACCATGTAGAACCATGTAGAAAAGAATATGAGGAGAAAATATTTGTGTATTGAATTGTTCTTTTTTTAAATTACAAAGGTCTAACCCTCTTTAAATAGGAAGAGAGAAAAGCATATAAGTAAACTTCTATTCCTACCATATTTCTATTTCTACTAAAACAAGAACTAAGCAAACTAGGAAAGATACTAAACCAAATCCCAAAGGGATTCAGTTTCCTTCTTTGATCCGGCTTCCTTCTTCTGTTGCCAACATATAACTAGGTACTAGATCTGTACCCGTGCATTGCATGACTAGTAATTTAGATTAGTGTAATGGTTATAGTATTTTCGTAATAAGAAAAAAATGGTGTATATTAATGAAAGTACTTGATTCGTATGTAAATATTTCAAAGATTACGAAATAAATATAAGGAATATTGTTATAAATGTACAAAGTTGTAGAGATGAAAGGTTCTTAAAAACTTCTTTGTAAACAACGTAGATAGCCTTTTCAAAACGCTAATGCTAACCTCTAACGCTATTCCCAAACAGGCCCTTTGTAAAGAGTATAGTTAGTTAAATTTTAACTATATACTTTAGAGAATATATTTTAGTGTTTTTTGAAGGAATGTTCTAATTAGAGTGAATTTTAAATAATAAGATAAACTAAAATACTACATCTCTTCTAAATTTATTGTCTTACTTTGACTTCATGAAAAATAAACAAAAATACTGAGAAAAAAAAGTTGTTAAAATTTATTTTTTAAAATTAGGGTCGGTTCATGTGACATTGGTTCTCAATGACCCGGGGCACCTACAATGTTCTATTCAAAAAATTGATTATTTCAATAGTGAACACTACAACCAATCGGCGAAAGGATGAGAGGAGGGTTGGCGGGTGTAGGGGGTTTAAGTCACGTTCTCGTCAATTTATTCTCATTACTTTATACTTTTTCTTATTGAAATTGGATCAGACCAGATCAGAAGTAGTTTTAAATATAAGTACATTTAGATTAAGTTAGAATTTATTTTAATTAGCTCAGAATTATTCAAATTAGATGAATAGAATCTGCCTTAGTGAGTAAAAAGTACGGAGTATCAATTTTATTGATAATTTATACTCCCTTCCTCCCAAAAAAATTTCCCTTTCTTTTTTCTAATCCTACAAAATCCATCATTTTCTATTAAAAAAATCACGTTTACCCTTATTAATTCTTTACCAACATATCGCATGATATCTTTTTACTAATAATCTACTAATCACTTATTCATCACATCAAGAGCATTTTTAGAAAACAAAACAAAATTAATTTTTTTTGAATATCTTAATTAAAAGTAAAACAGAAATATCTTTGTGGGAGGGAAAAAATATTTACTTAGAGGGTCATTTGTCTTATTGATATTGAACATGCACCAATATTACATGACTAGGGTTTAAAAGAATAAAAAATGTGAGATTTTTTAAAACTGGTTGAAAAAGAAATGAAACTATTGGCGGTATTTGGTGGAACTTGGAAGGGAGTATTACCATGAAAAAATGGACTCAAATTTTGAACTTTTTTTTGATCAACAAGGAGGGGGAGACCCCGAGCTAGTAGCCTCGTGGAGTGGTGGTAGCGCGTCGCATAGTAGTGACCCTCATCATATCGTCAGTACTCAAGTTTTCCAAATCTGCAGTAGGGACCTCAAACGTTCTCCATGAAATATCTTGAAAGGCCCCAAGGTTAGCAAGACGATCCACAACCTTATTTTGTTCACGCAAGATGACTTTAAAGCTGATTTTATGAAATCTGTTTGTCCAACTCTTTATCGCTATAATGGTATCGTTGATGGGTCCCCTCAAACTCGTCGATCTTGTAATCCAATTGACAACTTCTCTAGCGTCAGACTGCACCTCAAGATTCCTCACCCCTCTACCCCATGCCTATTGGATGCCTTTTTCAATGGCTTTAACCTCGATTTCCTCGATGTTATTTGGTCTAGTTTTGTAGGAAAAATTACCAAGCCATTTTCCACTCTTATTACGAATGACTCCGCCGCACCCAGCCCTCTTATTAAGAGTAAATTCATGATCAACAGCCGAATTCCATTTTAGTAGAGGATCTCTTGTATTCATCAAAGAGGGGGTTGCTACCTGATTTTTATCGAATGCCCTTTGGGGACATCCGATAAAATTGGAACGATACAGAGAAGATTAGCATGATCCCTGCGCAAGGATGACACGCACAAATCGAGAAATGGTTCAAATTTTGAACTTTGAATCGGCAGGGGGAGAACAAACTGGCGCGCTTCTCAACAAACCAAAAAACGACGACCGCCGTATTCGGGTGCGTCGCTCCCTCAGTCCTTCCCGTGTACTCGCGGCTCCAAACCTAAATCTCGGCAGTCGGAAAGCGCGGGAAATGCAGCGACTGGTTGATGATGGACTGATGTCCCGTAAAATACGGAAAAGCTGCTGCCCCGCCCCTCCCCATGTAAGCCCACGAATCGCAGACTTTCTCTCTCTATAACAACCCCTCCAGAAATTGTTCTGTTTTGTCTTCTTCTTCCCGTCTGCCTTCTCCAAGAGAAAGCTCGATAAGCTGAAATGGCGACCAGGAAAAGAACTGCGGTGGAGCCCGCAACCAGGGTGACTCGGAGCTCAGCTCGCCTCGCCGCCGCCAGATCCGACGACGCCAAGCCGGAGCTCCCCAAGGCCAAGAAACCCAAGAGAACCGCCGCGGCCAAGTCGCCGACGCCGGAGGCGGAGAGGGAGGAGGGACCGGTCGGTGTGCCAGCGGAGAAACCAAAGAAAGGTAAGGGAAGAGGAGAAAAGCCGTCTGCCGTGGCGGCGGAGGACGGCGGGGCTGAAGGGAAGACCGTCGTCATCGAGCAGTGCAACTCGTTCAAGACTCGGGCTTTGAAGGCCAAGGAAGCGCTGGAGGCGGCGGTCTCCGGCGTGAGAGTGGTGGTGAACCCGGAAAAGCCGAGGAAGGGCTGCTTCGAGATCCGCGAAGAAGACGGGGAGACTTTCGTCAGCCTTCTGGACATGAAGAGGCCGTTCAAGGCGATGAAGGATCTCGACATGGACGAGGTTATCACTGGAATCATCGACAAAATCAAATGATATTTCTTCAATCTCTTCTTCTTCGTTTCATTTTTTTGCAGTCCATTTCTCAAACACTTGGTGTGCATATATCTCGCCAAGTAAAAAAACAGGGAAATGAAGAAGAAGAGATGAAAAGAAAATCTCTGCCTGTTAAATCTTTTGTAGTAAATCACCTGATCTGAATTGGGTTTCTTTTGTTGTCTAGGGTTTTAGATTTTGCTACTGTTATGCTTAATATTGATGCTCCTGTTCTTGAATACTGGATTAAGGGTGTTTTTGGTACATGTGAAATGGAGAGGTTTTGAAAAATCTTTTACTAGTCTTTTCCCTTTCTCTTCTTTACCTTCCTGATTCTTTGATACTGGATTAAGGGTGTGTTTGGTTATTTTGATTAGCTTGAGTTAGAGCTCATGAATATGTGTTATTAGAGAAGATGGCATTAGAACAATGAGGTGTGAACTTGGCAAAAGACCTGATAAACAAAGTCATGAAGGTAAGTAGGAGTTTTATGGGGTTTGATAGATTTCCTGGTGACTTTTGTTGGGCTGAGGTTCAACCATGTGAAGAGAAATGTTTGTAATTTGTATGGTGTGAAATGGGAGTTTGGGGAAGATGAATGTTGGATGATGGGTCTTCTGAAGGAAGGTTGGACACTTGAACTTTGAAGTTTTTTTTCTCCATAGGATTGTGATTGGAATGAAATATGGGAGCTTGGGGTAGTTGTTTTTGGAATGGGAATGAATGTTGTCTCATGAAATAAAAGATTTGTGGGAATTTGCAAGGCTTTCTTTACATAGAGTTATGCTATGAAAATTGAACGCATGTTGAAGCTCTTCTTTTCACACTTGTGGCTTCTTTGCTTTTTGTGTAGAAGTGTAACATAGGCATCCAAAACTCTAAAATGTTCATATCATGTTGTGGTGCTTTGACAAAAAGAACTTCATATGGAGATTTGCAACTAAGTTGGTGTTTTGTCTATCATACAAACAAGGCATATGAAACAAGAGCTATTATGAGCTTTTTGGTGTTTGGTCTACCAATATAGTCAACTTATCTCACACTAATAACTTTGTTTTCCTACTAATGATGATAGATTTTGTTGAGTGTGAAGTATCATTTTATCACTTAAAGTGATTTGAGGATTCGTTGAACTATGTTCAACTTAATCTATCAAACGGAGAGACATATAGTTGCTCGACCACCATGGAGAGGATTTGTTTCAAATGAAATAAACGATTTTCAATGAATTGTTACTCATTTTGTCATTTGAGATGATTGATGAACTCGTAGGTTAGAACTTAGTCGAACTAAACAAGCAAGAAAAGGGATATCTAGAGTTAAAAAACCGTTGGGATATCATGAATAAGTGATTCAAGAGTGTTATTCCATGGTTGGACTAGTGATTTTCACAAGTCGCTCTTAAGAGTTGAATGGTCAGAGAGCGAATAAAACTAAAAATCTATGGTATAGCAATGCTTAGTGATATGGACTTGATTATGAATAAATACATCTTTTGTAATGCTTTATTTGGATGTGAAGAGAATATGCAATGAGTGAAATTCATGAGAACTGAAAACACATAAAATACAGAGTATATATTGAAGTTTTTTCCCTATTGTTTGGATGAGTAGAAAATGAAGAAGAAATGAAAACAAAACATATGAGAAGAGGTATGCCAACCGGGGCTAGAGATTGAAGGAATGTTGGTGGATCTAAAAAATAATAATGACTGGCACCTTAGAACTACCGATGCAATCTGGTGTCATGCACCCACACCGTTTTCATCTTAACCATAGTCGTTGTTGTGTCATCCCTCTATCTAAAGCATGACCATCATAGGGTCATCCATGGTCGCCTAAAGACATCATTGGCTCCATTGTGGACTCAAAAACCCTATATGCCTCCAATATTACTATACATAACATCTAAACTAATATGTCAATTGCCCACCTAATGTGTCATGATCTCTCTTCTTTGTTTTGTACCCTAATCTAAGTCACTCGGTCTCGATATGTTATTAATCAACAACGCACTACCAAGGAAGACATTGTGTTTATATTTGTGAGATTGAATTGGTGGCATTGTATTTTCTTGGCAATATGCTTAATTTAAAGCATTGTTAATTTTTACATTTTGTATTTTGTGTCGTGACATTATTTGGTATTTATTTTGACATTGATGACAATATAAGAATCAGGAGCAAGGTTGTGACACTTGCGACTGGTGGTGTTGACAATAGTGCGATGACATCTACAGACAACATCAGGTGCAAGTGTGATTTTAGAAGGTAATGTGGTGGAAGTTAGTTGCGATGTGAGGGAATGTCTGATGCATAGTGTTGATGGCAGTGGAACAAAATGTTGTGGCAGATGGAAGTGTAACTTCAAATGGAACTGTGACGATATAGTGATTGACACATCGAATAAACATAATTTTTTTAAACCATAATAAAACTTTACATTAAAATTTTAAATAAAGGGCATATTTGTCTTATTGAATAAAATTAATCGTTATTTAAGTTTCAAAAGATTAGCGTTTCTATTTTGGTATTTTTTCACTCTTTCACTTTTAGTTAGATATTTTTTTTCCAAAAGAATCATATTCTAAGTTCTGTAAAATAAGTAGTGACTTGGCCATTTTATTTTGCCTTGAAAAATATATAATTTGATTCCAAAAAATTAAATATAGCTTTGAAAATAAATAAGATCAAATAAGACCATAATAAAATCAGATCAAACGAAGAGAACATAATCTAAAATCAACATTATTCTTCTAAATTCACTTCCGAAAGGGCTAAGAACCTGTTCTATTCAACTTATCATTTTAAATATAATTACAACCAGAACTGATCAAAACTTAATCGTAATTTGATCAGTGCCAATCAAATAAGTTGAAGAGAACACGCATAACTCCACACATTTGACATAATTTTACTAAATTCACATCCATTGATATAAATTTGTTATTGGTGTAAATTTAGCAATGATAAGTGAAAGATGCAAATATAGTAATTGATGCATTTGGAGAGTGATTTTAGCAATGCCCGTATTTCTTATATTTTATTTATGCACAAATATACTTCGTAATTAACAAAGTAATCACTAGGGGTGAGCAAGAATCCCGATTCTATTATCTCATTCTGAAGTATTCCACTCTTATTCCTATAATGTCTCATTTCATTTGGGACAACAAAATTTTGCATGAACTCCTCTCGAACTAATTTAAAATAGATCTAGACAGGGATGAATAAAAAGTATCACGTTTTGTCTCGTTGTCCCGTATATTTATGTCGAAACCCAAATTGTTCATTCACATTATTTTTTTTGCCAATTTATAAGGTTTGTAAACTAAAATGCTATATAGTATTTTTTAATGTGTTATGTGTTTTTACTTTTTATTGCACTTTTATTTGAAAATGTATTACTCCGTATAAATGTTTGTATAAAATCTTCAAACTATGGAGTATGGAGTAGTTTGTAGGATTAAGTTATTACAAATGTTATGTTTATATTTTATGAAAACATTAAATTAAAACATCATGAACCATTCTGTGCCTAATCACTTGATCAAAATGTGGAATCGAGTGCCCGAACAGTGTGGCTTTGTTTTCTAAAACCCTAAACCCTCTTCAATGGCGAGAATTCATACGGAGCAGTTTTGATTCTGCAGAAATCGAAGAACAACGATGCATTTCTCTAGGGCTATTCATCTCAGAGGTCGACGAATCTTCCCTTCTCTCTTCAATGGCCTCACTTTTGTCCGTTCCATGGGAGGTGGCCCTAGGACGTTCCCCGGCGGGCTCAACAAGTGGCAATGGAAACGCCTCCACGAGAAGAAAGCCCGGGAGAAGGAGAGAAGACTCCTTGATCACGAGAAACAGGTTTACCAAGCCCGAATCCGATCTCAAGTTCGATCCAGACTCTCCCCTGCTGCCGGCGAACAGGCCAGTGCCGTCGCTCAACAGCCAACTCATGGCCCGATATCCCCTCAGGAGCAAATCAAGGCTCTCGCTGATAGGTTTATGAAGGAGGGAGCTGAAGATTTGTGGAATGAAGATGATGGGCCTATAGAGGCTCCCGCACCTGAGTCAAAGCGTAGAGTGATCAGCAAGCCTCTTAATGTACGTAGATTAATCTCGGAAAATTCAAATTCTGGCCAGAATTCCAGTGGGTTTTCAAGCTTCAGGAGCTTCTCGAGTGATACTAGAAGTTCTGTGAGGTCTCTTAATTCTTTAGGTGGCGGTGGATGTGCATTTTTGGGAAATTTGGTGAGTATAGGTGATATAGAATACGTGAATCATACTATATTGCATAGTTTTTTGACAACCAGAAGCTATTCCCTTGATACAAGGAGTGCAAGTGGTGTGAAAAGGCCTGATGTTGAAAGAAAAAGGAGTGTGAAACTTGAGGATAGTTCAAGGAAGGATGTGACGGATTCGAGAGGACAAAGAGCCAAGTGGCCAAGTAAGTTCAGGTCAAATATGTCTGATTCATCTGATGAAGACGAGTACGATGATGGTATGGCGCTTGAAGAAGAAAATAAAAGTATCACTAATGCTAAGAGAATGAGTAGTGCTGCTCTGGGGAAGTATGATGTGAAGTTGGAAAAGCGAGTGCCGTTGCCGATTATAGGATACGAGGAAGATTTGTCACAGCAAGTGGAAGAAATTCGTAAGGAGGTGATTCAGAGGAGATTGCAGAAATATGACTGTGGGGAAGACGAGGGTGAATCTCAATCTCTTCTTAGTGTGAAAAGGTATATGGCATGTTTGAGAATTTCACAGTTTCAAAGATTTGATCTATGCTGTGCACAGTAACGGGTGAACAACATCTTAATGTGTGAATTTGACTTCAATAGGTTTGATGAATACGAGATATCTCCATCAACTGTAAAGGCACTCACAGAAGCAGGTTATGTAAAAATGACTAGGGTTCAAGAGGCTACCTTATCTGCTTGCCTTGACGGTATGTCTTTGCTTAGATTACGTGGAGTTCATTTTCTACTTTTGAAAGTAAAATAAGTATTTGCATTCCAGGACACAAACATCTGGACACACTTCTATCTCTGGTTAAGTCTGAATAGATAATGCTATTTTAGGCTTATCTGGCTTAGTCTGGCTCTTTAGATTTTGGGTGTATCAAATGTTACTGAATGTTTTTCGTTTGAAAAAAAGTAGATTCAACTCATTTGCGCCAAACAACTGTCACTTAAAGGGTCCTATTTCCTCGATTTTCCTATATTTTAATTTCATTGGCCATTTAACAGGAAGTGATGCATTAGTCAAGGCAAGGACTGGCACTGGGAAAACTGTTGCTTTCTTGGTATACTTTTGGTCTCTATGTAGATTCTAGATTGGTATTGTTTGGTTTTATTTCTTTCATTGGAGTTGTTAAGCACAAACAGATTCCTGCTATTGAAACAGTTCTGAAGCCACAAAGGAGCAGGACAGCTCAAAGGTTCCCGCCTCTATATGTGCTTATTTTATGCCCAATGAGAGAACTTGCTAGTCAGATAGCTGCAGAAACAAACGTGTTACTGAAGCACCATGACAACATTGGTGTGCAAACACTGGTCGGGGGAACACGCTTCAAGGTTGACCAACAACGCCTGGAATCACATCCATCGCAGGTCCATTAGTCAGTCTTGGACTTATTTTAAGCTTTTAGATTTAGATTTTACCTAATAGTAGTATCTGTTAGCAATGGATCATGTAAATTAGAGTGTATATTGAGGGATTGTATCATCTTATCTTAAATGGCGTGTTTGTGTCAAGAGAGACAGAGGGGAGTGAAATCGGACTCTAGGAAGGGAAAAAGAGCGTAGGAATGTTGTCTTTCTCTTGTTTGGTTGTAAGACGATATATAAGATTAAATGTAGGTAGGGTGCACCACTTCTCTCTCTCTCTCTCTCTCTCTCTCTCTCTCTCTCTCGGTCTCTCCTCTATCACCCTATGGGCCTACCATATGAAGTAGTGAGTGTGTATTATTTTCTACTCCGTATTTTTCTATTTTATCCTTGCATTTGTGCTCTTTTTGTCCATGTTTTTTTCTAATGAAGAATATTTATGGTCATTTGATGGGCATCTTCTCTCTTTTCTCTTTTTTTAAAATCTGGTTTTGTTTGTAGCTTTTGTGTTTCTACTCCTATATAGTTGATACCAGTTGTTTATCAATTTCTTGCTTCCTTGTTACTTTTGTAGATTATAGTGGCGACACCAGGTAGATTGCTGGACCACATTGAGAATAAGTCTGGATTCTCCACACGTTTGATGGGATTGAGGATGCTCATACTAGATGAAGCAGACCACTTATTGGACCTTGGTTTCCGAAAAGACATAGAAAAGATTGTTGATTGCCTGCCTCGTCAAAGACAAACTTTACTCTTTTCTGCTACCATTCCAAAGGAGGTTAGATGTTCTGTGGAAATTAATCATATTTCATTTGCTTTTTCTGAGTTAAAACCAAAAGCTAGAATTTTCTTGATTTTAGAAACCTGTTGACTCCAGATCTGAAATCTATTTCATGGGCTTGCAGGTTCGCCGAATATCTCAACTTGTTCTGAAAAGAGAACATGCATATATTGATACAGTGGGGCTTGCTTTGGAGACTAATGCAAAGGTATAATAATACTCCGAATACCATTTATTATTGAATGGTCATGCATTCCTCTTTGATGAAGCAGTAATTTTTTTCTTCAAGGAAATTGGATTTGATAGATGGTTTCAAGAATTGAGAAGCATTTAGTGAACATCAAAAAGTTGTAGCATGCATACATTAATACAGTGGGATTTGGTCCGGAGACTGGTTCAAGGGTATAATATTGAATGATCATGCATTTCCACTTTGGAAAAGAAGTGCTCGTCATTTTTTTCTTCAAGGAAATTTGATTTGTTGGACGGGTACAAGAATCAAGAAGCATTTGCTAAACCTGGAAAAGTTCCATGTTACTTCCCACATTCCAATTTTTGAGATTTTAAAATCACTCTCTAAAATATTAATTTCAACAAAAATTGGAGTACTTGATGAGAAATTACCCATATAGGAGAATTATAAATTTAGAAGGATATGGTAAACCTGCCCATCAAATTCTGGAAGTGGACTTCTCTATCTCTCTCCCTATCTCTCTTTCTGTCTGTTACCACAACAAGCAAACTCAGTAGAACCTCATAGAACTATAGAAGTAGGGTTTGAGGAGGGTGTTTGTATGCAGGCCTTCCCCCTCGTCACAAGTAGAAATTTTGTTTCCAAGAGATTCTTGACACCAAAAGTACAGATAGAGTAAAGTAAACACAATAGCACGAATAAGGTGAGAGCATAGACTCTCAAAGCACAGAGAGCTCCCCTACACAAGCAACTTGCTTTTAAGCATCTTTCAACAAGAACAACTACAAATGTAGTGTATTCCCACTAGGTGGGGTCTGGGGAGGGTAGGATGTAGTGATGTACATAGACTTTGCCTCTACCCATAAAATGAAGCTGCTTCATTCATAGAGGACAATTTTGCTTCATTGTTTATGGACAAAGCCCTTAGAGTTGTGCCTTCAACAATGGCATGCTAGTGAATTGGAAAATGAGAGCACATTTTTAGGCAATGAAGTGCTTGTTGGTGGAGTTATAATTTGTGCTACTGCTAGTGTGCACGTCTCCATGGAACAATGTTGAAAACATAACGATTGGTGGACATGTACCCTAAGTTATCATTTGGTGAATAAAAATTGTAAAATTGAGAACAAAGAGTCAAAGAATGAGTAGACATTACAATTTGATTCATCTCTAAGACATATTTTGAGAACAACTGTTTGAGATGAGATGAGTTCTATCTTTCTCTTTTTTAAATTGCAAAGCTATTTCTCACATTCATTTTTGTTTGTTGAACAGGTTAAACAATTTTGTCTTGTTGCTCCACATGAACAACATTTTCAAGTGGTGCATCACCTTTTGAGAGATCACATCTCAAAAGTGCCTGATTACAAGGTATGAGTTGAATAATGACTTGATTTTTTTTCAGTATCTTTGACCATTTTTTTTGTTTCAGATACTCCTTAGTATTCTTCAAATGCTGTTATATTTGTTTCTTCCTTTCAGATAATTGTTTTTTGTACAACATCAATGATGACATCGCTCATGTTTTCTCTATATCGCGAGATGAAAATGAATGTCAGAGAGATACATACCAGAAAGCCTCAACTTTATCGTACTCGAATCTCTGATGAATTTAAGGAAACAAAACGTGTAATTCTAATAACATCTGATGTTTCATCCCGTGGAATGAATTATCCAGATGTCACATTGGTTATTCAGGTATGACAAACCTTCAACCTTTTCATTGATGCTCCCTCATTTTATTTGAAACTATTTCTAAGCATGTGGTGGAAATGGCTTCTTTGTGTGTTAAACTTTTCTTCGTTGCATGAGGTGTGGTATTCACATTTTGACGCATCAGGTAGGGATCCCTGTGGACAGGGAGCAATACATACATCGGCTTGGAAGAACAGGACGTGAAGGAAAAGATGGAGAAGGCATCCTATTGATTGCACCTTGGGAAGAATATTTCTTGGATGGGCTGAAAGACCTCCCAGTTCAGAAATGTGACTTGCCTATTTTAGATCCTAATATTACAGCGAAGGTTTGCACTCTTGTTCCCCCTTCAGCCCTTCAATTTTTAGAATTGAAATAATAAGGGTCTGTTTCTATTTTGGAAAATGCCAAGGAAAGAAAATAAGGAGGAAAATAGAGAATTTTTTAACGAAAAGCATTGTGCAAGTAAAAAAACTAGTTCAAAGTCAATTAATCAAATTTAAGTATTTCTTCACCCATCGTTGATCGTACTTGTAAAAACTTGGTCAATTTTTATTTTCCAAAGTAAAACCAAACATTAAAAAACATCACTTTCCTTCCCATCTTGCCCGCTTACTATCTTCTGAGATCTAAACATCACCCGACATGTTTAGCCATTTGATCTCGTATTTCACAATTCATTTATGCCATATGTGGATCATCTTCATTTGGTCATATTTCCACTTCGGAAGTGTCAGATACACCTTCAAATATGACCATATTCAAACAAAATGGCTGAATCTTTTTTGCTTCTCTATGAAGGAAAGGTTCTTTAGCCGAGTCATGTCCCAAAAAAGTCTTGATTTCAACACTGTTTTTGTCATAAAGAGGAGTCGTGTTTCATCAAGGGATGTTATTTTTCATGTCATTTTTTCAACAAAAAAGTCAACAACATATGATAGATTTCTATCAAACTAACAATAAAGAAGAACCGCTAGGGGTGAGGTAGTAATTTTAATCAACCAATTTTGATGTAGTAATGTCGATGTATAGCTTTGTTCAAGTTGTCAATTTGCAACTGCAGATAGAAGAATCGATGGCGAGGGTTGATAACAGTGTCAAAGAAGGGGCATACCATGCTTGGCTCGGATATTATAGTTCAATCAGGGAAATAGGACGGGACAAAACTACCCTTGTTTCGTTGGCAAACCAATTCAGCGATTCTATTGGGTTGGAGAGGCCCCCCTCGTTGTTCCGGAAAACTGCAATAAAGATGGGATTAAAGGATATTCCCGGAATACGCTTGAGGAAATAGCTGCATCATGACAGGTTTGAGGAAAAATGTTACTCAGTATTATTCTATTTTATTTTTACTAGTTGTTACTTTGTACCATAGTTTGAGTTTGTTAGTTTTCACTTGTTTCCAAAATTGTAACATGGCATTGGCTCATGTTCTTGTGTACTTTTTGAGGTTAAATTATTTTACTAGGTGGTGTATTACAAAGAGGCAATAGATGTTCAAATGTACCTTCATTGCCATTTTTGCAATGTTTATGGTTGGGGTAATAGCATGGTTGCCCCCCGTGGTTTACAAAAAGAGCGTCAAAACTCCCGCTACTTTCAAAAGTTATTTGTAAAACCCTTGTGGTTTTTAAATAGTGCACAGGCGCCCCCTCTTGCCTATTTTTAGACATAAAATGACATTTCTGCCCTTTATTTTTCTCTACCTTCAATTTTCACTCTTTTATTTGCATTTTTTTGTTATACTAATAAATAAACAAAATATACGCCCCATTTCTCAAATTAAAAATTTTCATTTATTTAATTTTCAAAAAAATAATTTTTTTATAAAATGTTACAAAAGAAAATTAAAAAATTAAAAAATGAAATAAAATATACTTTTTCATTATAAATAAAAGTAAAATAAATAAAATAAAAAATTAGATAACATATACACACTTTGTCTCTAATTAAACATTCTAACTTATTTGTTACTCCCTCCGTCCCACTCTTTTTGTCCACTTTCATTTTTGCACATCATCCAATGCACTTCTTTAATGCATTTTATCTTGTAATTTATATATTAAAAAATTATAAAAATTATATATTACTCCGTAATAATCTATATGTTAAGACAAATCAAACAAGATCACACATGACTATTTTTAGACTTACACATTGAGAGAATTTGATGAGTCAAAGTGCTTAGATGAACAGTTCCAAAAGTCAAAACTGGACAAAAAGAGTGGGACGGAGGTAGTATTTAAAAGTAAAATTATTTTTAAGACTTTAAAAAATGAAGAACAAAAAGATAAAATAAAATATGGAGTTAAAGAAAAAGACTGTTTTATATTTTTCTTTCTTTTCATTACCTTTTTCAATTATTATTTTTACTTTATACATAATATTTTATTTTTCATTTTCTTTAGTAACATTCTCCAAAAAAAACTTTTTTTCCAAAAATACATTATGGAAAATTTTAATTTGAGATGAGAAACGTATATTTTATTTTATATATTTGTATAATAGAGGAAAATAAAAAATAGGAAAAATTCAAGATCGAGAAAAAGAAAGGGCATAAATATCTTTTTTGCTTTAAAAATAGGTAAGGGGCATGTGTGCTCTATTTAGAAACCATAGGGACTTTACAACTAACTTTTGAAAACAGAGGGATTTTTGACGCTCTTTTTATAAACCACGGGGCACCGATGCTATTTTCCCGTTTATGGTTCCTCATTTCCTTGGCATTGTGTGTGTATGTTTTTTTATTTATTAGTACTCTCATTTCTTCTAAAGTATTAGTGTTTGTCTAGTTTGATTTTTTATACATTTAAATCAGATACATTTTAATTACAATCAATTACATAAATAATAAATTGTACATAAATAAAAAAAAAATTTGAGAAAGTTTTTCTTGTAAAGTCTTTTTTATCATTTTTTAAACATATAACAATAATGTTTACTCACTCTGTTCCAAATTAAACTATATTTTTACAATTTACATAGTCAAATGTTATTTACTTTTTTTGTAGTCTCTTCGCCCCACAAAATCTTTCTCATTTTGCCTTTTAAAGAATTTAAAAGAAATGTATTTTGGTGTAGATTTTTCAAAAATTTCCTTGAATGCGATGAGATTTAAGCATCTAGTATTCAATGCAATCTACAAGGAGAAAATCGAAATAAAAACAGTTATTGTATACTTCAAATCTTCAAGGAATATATTCATCACTCTAACTTTTTCTCCACTTTTTCTGATTCTATCGGTTGGTGGTTTATCAACATTCAACAATCCAATAAGATCTAAAATGCAGCAAGAATTATTGTCACTAAAAAGAAGAAGTAAAGGCATATATACGAAGGAATAATTTAGGACTGAAATTTCATTCTTATAACATTAGCAAACATGAGTCGATTTTGAATATTTGTGGCATCATTGAGATATTTAAAATTTTCCAAATTTGAACATTGTTTCAGGGAATAAATCGTCCTTAAGATCTGATATAAGCGTGTCTTTAGCAAACAACAATTTGTATTGATTGTCTGTAAAGTTCTGAATATTTTTTAGACGATAAGATTTTGTATTACATATAATTGTCCCTCCTTCAGTAAAGGCTTAAACTGTGGTATCAATGGCTTCTCACAAAATGCATGTATACGATTTCCTTACGTTTCATAATAAGAATTAACAATTGCAAAGATGAACATGAGAAAATGCATTAACAAATCCAAGGAATTTAACAATTCATAGTAATACAAACTTGGTCACCTTGGAAAATAGCTTCGTGTCCATAGATTGTGTTATGTGCACTCTTTATCTTCTTAAGATCATAATGACGTAAAAATATTAGCTTCACGGCATCTCGATGCCTGGCAGGGTGGAGCCTCTTGAGAGGAATCTAATTTGGAGACATGTTTCGTATAAGAGTGTAAATTTTGTTGATAATCAAGTATTAAAACTTCAACAAATATATATAACATTTTTTATGACTGCAAGTAGTGGATGAAGTCAGCAGTTTTGATAGGAACTTCGTGAGATGGAGTCTGCAGTTTTGGAAGGAAGGCCCAAGGAGTATTTTACGTGCCTATGAGATTGGAAATACAAGTTTTGATACGAACTTCGTGCCTATTTTTTTACGTGTTGCGATGAAGTTTTGAATGGCTTGGATTTGCCCAATTTCTCCCAAATTAAAATTGAGCCATTGATCATTACTTGTTGTGTGAATTTATCCCATGTCCTCCTAATTGAAATTTGGCTATTGATTAAGAATTACAGCGGGAAAATTGGATTGCAATTTTGGTTCAACTTTTATATACTCCGTATATAATAGATTGAACAAGCGGATGTTATTGTAAAAAGGTGACGTGCACTCGGGCCTTGGGATGGAAAGAAACTTGGGCCTGATCCCCCAAAGGAATATTCCATGGTGGGTAGAAGAAATATATAATTGGACCTCTGAAGTTTGTATTGCCTTGGTGATGTTTGGGCCTCACAAATGCACTTCACTTAAGGGAAGCTACATATTCCTAACAACTATATTGAAATTATAATTTTATTTATTTATTTCCTCTTAGCCTATCATCTGGGGTTGGTATGGGGTATCCTATGAGTTATGGTTCAACCTTTTTTTAATAATAAAATAATTTAATTTGACAAAATTTGACCAATTGTTTTATGGTCCACATTTGACTTTTGGAACTGTTCATCTAAGCACTTTGACTCATCAAATTCTCTCAATGTGTAAGCCTAAATATAGTCATGTGTGATCTTGTTTGATTTGTCTTAACATATAGATTATTAATATATAATTTCTATAATTTTTTAATATACAAATTACAAGATAAAATGGATTAAAGAAATGCATTGGATGATGTATAAAAATGAAAGTGGACAAATACTCTAGGACGGAGGGCGTAAAGTTTATCTTCGCTCTAAAATTGTATGTTTCACAATTTGGACCTTCTTATGGTAAAACTCATAAAGCTCATATTAAAAAACAGTGCTTCCAACATATATGTGGCCAAATTAATAAAAGATAGTATGTAGACCGTAGTATATAATAAAATTATAATTTCATTCTTTTCATATCTCTCAAGCAACAGACCACCCTTATCTAACGATTTCATAATGCTTATATTGACGGTTGCTATTCCTCAACGTTCATGTTCCTCAGCTCAGTGAAGCAATCTATGTGATTCCACATCAAGGTAGAATATTTGATTTGAAAAATTTGCTTTCATATCAGGATACTCGAGTAAAAAATAGAGTATAACACGATAATATTTTGGTGGACAAATTTTGTATGTGATACCGGAACTTTGGAGGTTTTTTAGTTTCGCTTTAGTTTTTAAACTTCAAATTCTATCAATAAAAATATACCTCAACTTATCAAACTTTTCATCAAAAAGATTTTATAAGTTTCCATGTTAACTGCAAGTTATCTCCTTCTTCTTTCATTACTTCTTATCAATTTCTTCGTCTTTTTCACATTCTCTGTCATAATAATAAAAAGAGAAAAGTGCATCGTTTACTCCCAGATTCTCTGAAAATTGTACGGTTTACCTCTGAACATTAAAAAGTGCACGAAATACCCCTGAATTCTTCAGAAATTGCACGGTTTACCCTTGAACATTAAAAAGTGCACCAAATACCCTTAAACTCTTCAGAAATTCCACGATTTACCCTTGAACATTTAAATAAAGACGATAATTTGGGAAAAGGGTACTTTGGAGAATTCACGAGGGCTAGATGAATCATACTCACAATTCCCGTCCGTGAGAGCAACCCACTCCCTATCTATCATTTTAGGACCAATGGTGCAACGTTTTAAATTGTTCAGGGTTATTTGGTGTACTTTTTAGTGTTCAGAAGTAAATCGTGTGATTTTTGAAAAGTTCGAGGGTAAACGGTGCACTTTTTAACGTTCATGGGTAAATCATGCTATTTAGGATGTTCGGGGGTAAACGGTGCACTTTTCTCATAATAAAAAAAACAAAAACAACAAACAATAAATTTTTGTTGTTCCTATTATTATTATTATTATTATTATTATTATTATTATTATAAGTATTATTATTATTACTATTATTATTATCGTTGTTCAAAAAAGATAAACAACGTAACCAAGTTTTTTTCTTAAGCCAAATAAATATATTGAATAACGGTGGAAATAACTTAACCAAAAATATATACTCAAAAAAAGACAACCAAAAATATAAAGTACGGAGTAACTACAAAAAAATTGAAAATCTGCGAAACGAATAGTCAATTGGTCAAGACACGTGTAACGTCGTTTTTTTGCTAACGCATATATTTTTGGCATTACATATATTTTGGTCAAATATTAACGTACTAATGTGGACTTGTCTTACAAAAACGGAGTTCTACCGCTCATTTTAAATATTTGTTCAATTTTAAGATTTTATAATTAAAATTAATAATTTTAAGTATTAATCAAATTCAATTTAGGGTGTTGCTTTATTCATCCCCATTTTGGCTATGTCCACTTCATTAGTAGTAAAATTGATAATTTTAATCTAAAAAAATACAATACATTTCAAAAAAAAAAAAAGAATCTTGATGCAACTTGCATGGTCACTTTTAAGAGTAAAATTGTCCATTTAATATAAGATGAGCGGAGGTAAATGTAACAACACCTTACAACTTACTACGTATATTAGATTAGTGCTGCCTTGTATTCCTCTTTTGATAGCTTTCTAAAGACGGTATATTATTTTGTTTTTGTGATGAAATAAAGTTGTGCATTTGTTTCATATATATATATATATATATATATATATATATATATATATATATATATATATATATATATATATATATATATATATATATATATATATAGGAATGTCTCTCCACCGTTAGATCTGATCGCGCATTCATTTACTTGCGCCCAGTCCTCAAGGGCTTTTTGGGGTTTACACGTCTCACACCCACCGATCTCATTCTCTCTCCTATACGCTTCCGGGATTTTCTCGCTATCTATGGATTCGTCTTGCTCTTTCTCTCTCATTTCAACGCATCAATTTCTCTGCTTCCAATCTCAAACCTCCGCTTCTTCTATCATAGCAATCCTTACTTTCACTCTGTCACTTTAAATCTAAACATCGAGCCGACGCGCAGGCCTAGGGTTCAACCAAGGCATGGATTCTGACAAGGGCGTGCACGGTGGTGATGGCGCACAAGGACTAGACAGAGGATGATTCCGGCGAGAAGAAATTACAGGTTTGGTTTCGCGTTGGTCTATCCAAACGGAAAAGAAAAAACTACAGGGGACTTTTTTTTAGCTTTTTAATTCAATTTTTTCAATAAGGATTATAAAAGCAATAATTACTTAGATTCAATTTTCTTTTTTTAATTTTCTTAATTTTAATTATTTAAAATTCTCATGATATACAAGATCAATATACTCAAATTGCATCTGTTTGCCTTATAGGCAAACAGATGCAATTTGAAACTTTAATAGTAGTTGAATGAAAGATTATTTCATGTTTAAATGCATGACATACACTATTGATATGCATCTTTGAGTATGTAAGATGCAGTGTAACATGCTTAAATGATGTGCGGGTAGAGTATAAACATACAACATACTATGTGAGTTTATGCTATCTACAAATTGTTGACTAGTTCTTGATTTTCTCATTCAGTTTTTAACTTTGATTTCTAAGTATTTCATAAACCCATAGTGTTGATTTCATAGTGTTTTAAGAATGTTATTTCGAAATTCTGAAGTGTGTTTATGCATCACTTCGACCTTTGAAGCATTGTTTATGACTTTATGTTATTGTGCACTATTGGAATCAAGGTAATGCATTTCCACATCACACTCTTGCATTAAGAATAAATTTGATGGGCAAGCCTAAGAGAGCAGGGGGTTTAGGACTTAAGAACATGATACATTGGAACTATGCCTGCAATCAGGCACTTATGTGGGATATATCAAGCAAAAAGGATATCCTGGATCCACAATAGGTACTTAAAACATCACACCATCTGGGAGATCCAGCCCAAACCCGGGATGTGCTACTACCTGAGGAAAATACTTAACAACAGGAAATTATTCTCAGGTATGAACATGAATGGAGAATATGACACTCAAAAAGGATATGAATGGATCATGGGTTCCCCTACAGAGTTCAAAGCTCATCATATTGTATGGAATAAACTGACTAGTCCTAAACATCAGTTCTTTCAATGGCTTATCTGGAGGAATAGATTGAACACCAGAGTAAGGCTTAGCAGATTCATGGAAATTGATACAAATTGTGTACTCTGTAATGCTGGAAAAGAGGACAGAGAACACCTGGTCTATGTGTGCTCTTATATGAAAAACATTAAGGCAGCAATTGGGCAGTGGATACACTATAGATGGCTGGCCGAAAATGATGATGATATGATGGAAGAAATCAAACAAATAAAGGGAAGAAAGAGGAGGCAAATAGTGATGGCTGCTTTTGCTGCAATCTGTTATGCGGTCTGGAGGGCGCGCAATATGAGAATTAAGCAACAAAAGATGGTCTCTTCGAAAGAAAGTAAAGAGTGGATCAAATTCCACATGAAAACATTTATAAACCATAAACTCAAGGGAATTTGCTTACAGTAGAGTATATTAGATTAACTGTTTGATATTCTACTAATATGTTGTATAAGGGATATTTCTGAGGTGGTGAATGAAATATTTGCGCTTTTGTTCAAAAAAAATAAATAAATTTGATGGTTATTCCAATTGATTATTCAATGTGTTCTTGCTGATTAAAATGGCATTGTGCTACTTCCTATCATCATATTTCTACAATTGGTGTGTGTTGTGTTTCATTCACATGAATTTTCTGTTGTTATCAATTCAATGTTTATTTTCCTATAAACTCATATTCTTGAAAGGTAAATCTATACATGTAGAATAATGCAAATTTAAAAAGATTAAAATAAGTATTTAACAGGTTAAATCATGTCCAAATGTAAGATGAGAGTCTATTTTAAAAACAAAGTATTGCCTATTAGCTCAAATGGTAGAGCGGTATGTAGTAAGGATGTGGGTTCGAATCCCGCATAGGCAAACTAAGTTTCAAATCTATTTTGTAGCTTAAACAAAAAAGTGAGGGCTTTTTATGTTATCTTGCATTCTCATAGAAAACTTAATGCATTCTTAGATCACAGTGCCTATTTCTACCATTGAATTTCATTTAACTGAAGCATATGTTATTCAACTCTTTTTGGTAGCTGTGGTTGAGCTATACAAGGTTGTGCTAGGAACCACCGTACTGGCTACATATCGATTTTAAAATTTTAAAAGTTTTTGTTGGCTTGGAAACTTTAAGATTCAATTCATCTTCAAATAGGTACACAATTCTTGGGTTGGGCAGATTTGTGACTTTGGTTGTTAAGTTTAATTGGTCCTTGGCTATATTGGATACAATAATCTATATTTTTTTTTTTCATTTTTTTAAATTTTTTATGGCTTTAGCATGGTCTCCCATTTTGTATCTTTTTTCTCATTTAGTTTATTTGAATTATATATTTTTGCAATAACATTCACATTGTGCTCTTCCTTATGCATATATTGATCTGTAGAGTGTAAAATTTTTAGCGCAATATAAACAATTCTTAGTGCATTATAATGAATTTACAGTGTGCAGTGCATGATTTACAAATACCATACTCATTTATAAAGATGCTACGTAGAAGTTGAATAAATTAGATTTAAATTGTGATCATTTGCATTCTTGGATTCTTTTAATGCTGCGTAAAATGAATCAAAGAACCACTGCATTTTGTAAAATACGGAGTATAAAATTGTAACATTCAAACACACATGGTCTATAAATATACCGGTATGCATTATACATGATAGAGCTTTATAGATTGAATATTACTTGGGAAATTCCCAAAATGCATTCTCAAAAGGTCACAACAAATTTAAAAGCACATCCAATTTTCTCTGATAGCATAGTGCACTCCCAAAAATCAAAATCTATTCTACTTAAACATATCAGATTGATTGCTTTTTTTGATTCATTGTCGTTGATCATGGAATCAAGACCTTTCTTCGATTGCAAATCCTCAGAATCCTTGCTTCTCTTCTCAGTTTCTGCATTTACTTTATCTACCTCTTCTTTAGCGGCTACATCACGGCTTACTTTGGGTTTATATTCATCAGAAATAAAATCACCCTCAGACCCTAGTGCATCACCCTCCTCTTTTTTTCTCTTGTACTACCAACAAAACAATAAATGTATGAGTACTGTTAATGCAACAAAAATTATAATATTGAAGTAAAAAAAATAAAAGTATCTACATGTTCATGAATGTTGCAGATTCTATGAACTGAAATGCAACATTATAGGCTCAAAATTCAATAAATGAAAATGATACCAATTTCAATTGTACGCAATAATTAAGCCTAACTGCAAAAGTATCCATTTGATTAAAACATAAGCACGAACTAATTCTATCACACTAACAACAAAATAAAGGAGTGATTCATCATGTAGAATCTAAAATGCTAAATGAAACATTCAAAACACCATATACCAATATACTCTCGCAATACTCATATAAGCAATACTAACCAAATTAAATCTTAGAAAATAAGCGGTGATATGCTCATGCAACGCACAATCAATTTGTGCAAAATAAATCTTATGTGATGCAACATAGTAATTACATTAATTGTATGCATCTCAAATTTTGTGGAAACAAATCACTCATATGCAGTCACACAAAATGCTTACCTATAAAGAACAAACAGAATGCTACATCAATTTAACACAATGCATTTCACAATCATACAAAATGCACACTCATAGAGCACAAACAGAATGCTACATGAATTCATCACAATGTATTCACTTCAAATCACTTCCCACCTACAACATAGACACCTTTATAACATTAAACAATTAGAAAATTTTCTTTATTAATTTTATGTTAAAGACAATGCATTATTTTATTCGGACTATGCATAATTTTATGTATTATAGCAAAATATCTAAAAATCCTCGAAGTATTGTGGCGGTGTAAAAAGCAATAATGGTGCACATTGAGAAACCCCATATTCATATTCAATTTAAGATCAATTTACTTTCTTTATCAAATTAAACAAAAATCAGAAGCTCGAATTTAAAGAATATTAAAAAGACGTACCTGATGAATGATGATGATGCATCTACAACATCTATCCGAGCCTTAAGCTTCGCCGCCGCCGCATACAGGTCACCGGAAAAATTTTCTTCTCTCACATCAGTCGTTCTCTTCATCATTATTGTAATTGCTGAAAATTGCAATTCTTTTTAAGATCTAGGTTTTTTTTAGACATGGACTGGAAGGAATGATGAGGAAGCCGATCGGAGGGGATGATGAAGTCGAAAAAGTACAGAGAAGAATTACTCCGTATATTGTATTGAGGGGGTTTTACTGTATAATCCTTATCAAATATTACCCAAGTGGTCCTTTTTTTATGGGTACCTTTTCACAAATAATCCTTTTTTGATCTTCTATCATGTTTGTGTTAATTTGAGAGCTAAAAGTGTAATTTCACAATGATAATATATCTTTTTTGTCATACACAATTCCAAAAGCTGTTCCGTTTGCGTCGTTTGTAAATTACAGTCGCTTTTTACGACAATTATAGTCTACAAATGTGATCTTTCGTCAAAATCCTAGCCCACAATCATAGTCATTATTTTGTGTTATCCGCTTAACCAATATCAGAACACGTCACTAGACATAATGTTGACGTCAAATTATACTTTTAGCCTTTAAATTAACACCAACACGGCAGAAGATCAAAAAAAGGACCATTTGTGGAACGGTACCCTTAAAAAAAGGACTACGGGGTAATATTTGATAATAGAGGACTAAATATGGAAACCCCCTGTTATAAAGGATCAATTATGAAATTTACTCTTCTATTGAGAGAGGAATAGATCATCGCCTATTTAGGTATAATAGTGTTTCCCCAAAATGCCCTTCTTTCCTTCTATTTTCCCTAATTACGTGCACTTTGCTTACTTACCATATCCAATGTTTTAGTAATTAGCTTCAGTAGTATTAAACCTGGACCGTGCGATCGTAACAAGCCTATGATGTAGATCTTCTCATTTCTTTCACCAAGGTTCATTCTCACAGGAACCGGCCCCTATATATATATATATATATATATATATATATATATATATATATATATATATATATATATATATAGAAAAAATAATTTATTAGATTCCAAAATATTATTTTATCTAATTAATATACAAGTAAATTTTATTCAATTATAATATCAATCGTTGTTGGCTGCAAAAAATCAAAACATGAAAAGTTCTTAGGAACATAAGTAATACTAATTGAAGTAAGTTAAGAAAGAATGTATAAATAAATATTACATTATAATAGTTAGTAACTTTAGACTTCTTTGGCACTGTTCGAAAATTAGTTGTTGGTTGTCAGCTGTATGTGTTGCCGGTTTGAACAGCTTATTAAATTGGTTGCTTGACCAAGCGATTTTAGGAAATTTGTCTTGGAATAGGTTTAGATTTTAGGAAATTTGTTTTATATTATTATTATATTATAAAATCTTTATATTTATTTATTGAATTGTAACATCTATTTTACTCATACCTCTATACACATAAGTTCAAACATAACAAACTATATACAGTTAGTCACCTTTTATGAGATTAACCCAATTACCTAATTTTTAATTAAAAAGGTTGAATTTACAAATAGTTCATATTTTTGGAAAAATTAATATTATATTTTTTTTATCAAAATAGCGGTTAACTACTAAGGCAGTTTTTGGGTAGTTACCGCTTATACAAAACCAAGTTACAACGAGGGGTCTTGGGCGCAAATGTTTACTTGGTGCGCAAGATCAACGAGGATCTTGGGTGCAAATGTTTACGCGTTTTTCTTCAATACGTGGGATGAGGAAGACTTCTTGATGAACACTACTAGGGTTAGAAGGTGCCATATATATAGAGGTCAAACATATTGTTGATCTTGAACAAGGTTGATAGCACGTGCACGTGCTTGAAATAGAACTTAAAGTAGGTGTAAACGCCCAGGAGAAAGACTTAAAGAGAGCTTGGAGTTAGTGATCACTTGTAAGTCTTTCGATCAATACATTAGGAGACTCTTGCGTAGTTGATTGCAAACACTACAATGGTTTAGCGGAGGACTATTATATGGACGTGTGCCTCGTAGATGTAGGAGATTTGGTTACGAATTGCGTAACCAATTATTTGTGTTCTTACTTTTTTACGCCGTGCTTGTGTACCGGTGATGGTGAAGATGTTATAACATTCTGTGTTGGATTGTTATTGTGTTATAAAATCTTTTCAGTGATTAGCTTGTTTTATCTATTGGTGTTTGTGTTTGGTTATCTCTCTTGCACCCCTATATACTTTCATAAAAGTCATTCCAAAAGCCAAAATCTAAACATGCCTTCTTTTTTTGTCTAGGAGGGCTTTGGTGGGGCGCTCCCTTCTTGTACTTTAATTTTCTTTACATCCATTTTGAATAAAAAAACATTATTTTTAGACAATATTATATTAAATTATAATAAACTCAATAACATTTAAAACAAATAGTTATATTTTTTAGCACTAATGTATGTTTAAATTTGTTTGGAGTGTCTTTTTATTTTGTCCCCTATGAATTAGTTTTGCAAAAAAAATAGCATTTTAAATAGT